GGTTGTTGAGGTGGTTTGGTCATTTAGAGAGGATGGATCAAAGTAGAATGACATGGAAAGCATATAAATCTGTGAGGGAAGGAAGGTGGGGTATGGGTCGTCCTCGAAAAGGTTGGAGGGAGGGGGTAAAGGAGGTTTTGTGGGCGAGGGCCTTGGACTTCCAGCAAGTGTGCATGAGCGTGTTAGATAGGAGTGAATGGAGACGAATGGCTTTTGGGACCTGATGAGCTGTTGGAGTGTGAGCAGGGTAATATTTAGTGAAGGGATTCTGGGAAACCGGTTATTTTTATATAGCCGGACTTGAGTACTGGAAATGGGAAGTACAATGCCTGCACTTTAAAGGAGGGGTTTGGGATATTGGCAGTTTGAAGGGATATGTTATATATCTCTATATATGCTGCTAAACTGTTGTATCTGGGTGCCTCTGCAAAAACAGTGATTATGTATGAGTGAGGTGAAAGTGTTGAATGATGATGAAGGTATTTTCTTTTTGGGGATTTTCTTTCTTTTTGGGTCACCCTGCCACAGTGGGAGATGGCCAACTTGTTGAAAAAAAAAAAACTGTGTATTAAGCAAGTTCAAGCTTTTGAAGAGTGGTGGGGTGTGTTGTCTGGCGTTGGAGTTTGTGATCATCCGCACTGCCACTTTATGTTGGGTTATTAAAGGTTTAAGGTGACTGGCCATTGTAGATCCCCAAGCACAAATACCATAGGTGAGGTAAGGGTATATTAGAGAGCGATATAAAGTAAGGAGCGCCCTTTGGGGTACACAGTATCCTATCTTGGAAAGAATACCTACTGTTTTGGAAACTTTCTTAGTTATATGTTGGATGTGGGTTTGAAATTTAAAATTACAGTCAAGGTGGAGACCCAGATATTTGCCCTCAGTGTGTCTTGTAATGGGTGAACCATTTATCGATATGTTTAGCAGGACATTTAATACTGTTTCCAAAAAGCATGAAGTAGGTTTTGTCTATACTGGGAGTAAATTTATTGGTCTTCATCCAGTTTAATATTTTATGTAGCTCGTTGTTTACAGTGTTGCTAAGTAAAGCTGGGTTTGGGTGGGAGAAGACTTAAGTGGTGTCATCTGCGAATAGAACTGATTTAAGGAGTCGTGATGCATTTGGGGTCACTGATGTAAATAAGAAAGAGTAGAGGACCCAGAACACTTCCCTGTGGCACTCAACTACAGACTGAGTATTGGAGGTCACACCATATGTGTATACATACTGATGTCTACCACTAAGATAAGATTTTAGGTAATTGAGAGTGTCCTCTAACCCCATAATGCTCTAGTTTTAGGTGCAAGATATTGTGGTCTACTGTATCAAATACTTTCTGTAGGTCTATGAAGAGCCCCAGAGGATATTCATTGTTTTCAGTTGCTGTATATAGTAATTCAAGCATCTGAATAATTGCATAATTTGTGCTTTTTTTCAGCCTAAACCCAAACTGGAAGGGGTTCAGTAGTTATTTAGTTCTGAAGAATCGCCTCCTTTGAGGATTGGGGTGACCTTTGTTGTCTTAAGTATGGATAGGAATACTGAAGATTCAACAGATGTGTTAAAGTGTTGCAATAATGGGGGAGAGCACATGAGCTGCTTTTTTATACATGATTGGTGACAATAAAGATTCCCACATGTTGCATAAGTGTCGCAATCTTCAACTTATCATTTTTTTTTACACCATTTATCACATCTGTCAGACACTGCAGCATCATGGGATCTTGATACAAAGAATTCTTCAAAACTTGTCCAACCTTTGAATGAAGACCTACTTAGACTAGTAGATGGTTCCACTATGACCCCGTCTCCTCCTGCTTTGCCTCACCTGACTACAGTATATAAGCCACGTTTACAGCCCTATACTGTACTTTCTACAAGACTGATGGACTGAACACATCAATGCCAGGCTGAGGGACTGATTACCTCAATCTCCTCCTCTCCTTACACCTTTCTGCTTTGTATTGGACTGATGAAGCCACTGTGTGGCAAAACGTTTCCTCAATAAAGATTCCCATATGTTGCATAAGTGTTTCAATCTTCAACCTGTCAGTTTTTTAAACCATTTATCACACAGTGAGACTTCAGTAGGATTTTTTGGTGCTATATATAGAGTATGTGGGTAATTACCAGTGAGGTAATCTTGTGGCTGAGTATTTGCTTTTGGGATTTTGCTTGCTAGTTTTGATCCTATAGTAGAAAAGAAGACATTAAGTTTGTTGACAGTGTCTATAGGCTGTATGTGTGGTTCGTCTGGATTCTCTAGGTTAATCTCTCTGTTTCTAGACAGTTTTCTAGAGCCCAAAATTTCAGGGAGAGTTTTCCCAGGTCTTTTTCATATCACCTTCTATTTCATTAAATCCGTTTACATAATACATTTGTTTAGACTTCTGTATTAGATTAGTAAATATTGAGGTGTATCGTTTAGTTAGTTCTTTTGTTATTAGGCCCTGCCCAAACTGTTTTTCATACAGATTTCTTTTGATGGATTTAAGTATTCTATATGTAAGTCAGGAGCTGTTTAGTCTCTTTGCTGAGATCTGCTTTGTTTTCATTGGACAACGTCTATTATAGAGGTTACGGGTTTTGTGTAGGAATAGTTTGACACATTCATTAATATCGTGGCTGTCCGCTAACTTGCCCAGCCAGTCAGTGTTAAGTAAGGCGATAATAAAATTATTTACTGATGACTTATCATGCAGTCGAAAAGAGATTTTAGTTGCGTCCTGAGGCAGCCTACCTAAGTTGGTTTTGAGAAAAGTTGGGTAGTGGTCCATACTGTTGTCTGTGATTATGCCTGCTTTTAGTGGGGATATAGTATTGGTCCAGATATGATCAAGTAGTGAAGCACTTTTCTCTGTGATTCTTGATGGTTTAGTTATAGATGGCAGTAGCAAGCAGCTGCTCATAGTGTTTGTGAAATCAGCTACTTGGGGGTAAGTTACTTGAATGAGGTTTATATTAAAGTCACCAGCAAGTGGCAGGTGTTGTTTATTCATCTCTGAGTCAATTATCGTGTTTCTTAAGTTGTCACTAAATGTGTAGGTATTAGTGTGAGGAAGTCTGTAGTCTGCTCCAACTGCTATGGTTTTTTTTTTTTTTTTTTTAGGTGCAAGTAAATTTAATACATTTTAGTTCATAAGAGTAATAGATAGCAGTACCTCCTCCTGATTGATCAGGCCTGCAGTTGTGTATGGCTGTGTAACCAGGTAAGACAAAGATGTCTGTTAAATCATGTTTGAGCCAGGTTTCAGTGAGAAGGATAAAGGATATGTTAATGCTTAGAGAATTAACCCTTTCAGGGTTTCAGCCGTACTAGTACGGCTTACGCACCAGGGTCCATGATGTACTAGTACTCATAAATTCTAGCGCCTTCAAATCTAAGGAGAAAGCTGGTAGGCCTACATATGAAAGAATGGGTCTATGTGGTCAGTGTGTGCAGTATAAGAAAAAATCCTGCAGCACACAGTGCGTAATGAGAAACAAAAAACTTTGACCATGTTTTTGGATTAAAACAGCTACTTTGTACTATATTTTTGTATGGTATTTATTGTTGTATTCTAGATTTCCTGCTCTCATTTGATAGAATGGAAGACATATTACAGAAATTGAGATGATTTTGACTGGTTTTACAATGAAAAGTACCTTGAAATTGAGCTCAAAGTAGCAGAAATGTTCGATTTTTACCAAAGTTCAAAAGTAAACAAATCATGCTAAGCGTCCAATACACGTCAACTGGCGAGTCTAATATTCTTTCACAAGTGTGCCGATATTATTTATACCATTTTTACACTAATGCAGTAGTCTGCATAACAGTAAATCTTCTATTTTTTGTGAGAATAAAAATTCAAAGTGGAAAGCAAAAGAAATGTAAGAGGGGCCTGGGGACGACTAATGAACAGAGGAAATGTTATTTTAGTGCCAGGAATGTCTTTCTTGTTTATTCTGGACCCTATTTGGAAATTGGCATCTTTTGCAGTTTGTGTGAAATTGGCAAAACTGCTAAATTCTGACCACTGTATTGGATAGTTGAAATCGATAAATTGGTGGTTTCTTGTACTTAATCGATAGAAAAAATGGAGTTCTAGCAAAATAGTTGTGATTTTTGTCGACTAGTACATTGGAATTGGCCGAAAATAGGGCTCAAAGTGGGCAAAATCGCTGCTGCATAAACATCGTCGAGACCGCTAACTTTGCGAGAGCATAATTCCGTAAGTTTTCCATCAAATTTCATACTTTTGGTGTCATTATGATCGGGAAAAGATTCTCTATCTTTTCATAAGAAAAAACATTTTTTTTTTTTTTAAATTTGGGGGACCCTGAGAACAAGTCTTTGAGAAGGCCTGTGGACCCTGAAAGGGTTAAGAAGTGCATGGAGGTCATCATAGTGTTTACTCAATGATCTGATATTGTAATTGAGTAATGTTATGTTCTTGTTGGCACTGAGTACAGCTTTAGCCTGACTTGGCAGTGTAGTAATGGCAATTATTGTTAGGATTATTTGGGCTGTTTAACAAGAGGTTAATATCAGGATCAATATTTGCATTCATAAGAGTAATGAAGAATGTAGCTAAGTATCAAATAAAAGTAACTAAGAGATAAGCTGTAAAAAAAAATTAAACTGAAAAGCAATTACTAACAACTATCAAGAATGTGTACTGTAGTATATGGATTGAGACTATTGATTAAAACAAACAAAAAGAATGAGTTACTGAGTATAGTAAGTTGAACTTAAAAAGATAACACTTCAGCACCTGACTGAGCACCTTGATTAGCACCTGCTTTAGCACCTAGTACACTATTGCTGAAAAACATAAACTAACAAACAATAATTTGAAAACAAATGAAACTAATTAATAATACTGCATCTCATATTATTATTAAAAAATTAGTATAATTATTGTTTTCATATTAAAATAAAGACACATTTTATGAGCTAAAACAAATGTTCAATATGTATAACCTAAGGAAAAATCTCCTCACAAAATACACTTACCATATAAATATAAAGGCACTAAAAATAAAAAACACTGCTCCAAATTCAATTAGTATGAATACTTTGAAGAGCAGAAGCCACATCAGACATTTCAGTCCCAGGGAAACCCAATCCAATGTTGTGTAATTAGCATAAAACATAAATGACGAGGTTTGAAGGTCTTCATCAATGAAATCTGTGCTGGCACTAGAGGACACATTGCTTGACTGGCCAGTTCTCCTCCGCATTTCCTGTAAACAAGGTGTTTCTACATAAATCTAAATGATGAATATATTTTAATTTTTTTGGAGGATACTTTATATCAGGAATGTCTACATAAATTTATAGTGTACAAGTTATTTTTTCAACTTTTAAATAATGATTACAAATACAGTGGACCCCCGGTTTACGATATTATTTCATTCCAGAAGTATGTTCAGGTGCCATTACTGAACGAATTTGTTCCCATAAGGAATATTGTGAATTAGATTAGTCCATTTCAGACCCCCAAACATACACGTACAAACGCACTTACATAAATACACTTACATAATTGGTCGCATTGGGAGCTGATCGTAAAGCGGGGGTCCACTGTACTGAAAATTATATTTAAAGGTGCAAAAATAAAAATCATTCACATTAAAACTAACGTTCAATGGAAAGCATTTTTGAAAAACCAGTACAGGAAATCATCTTAATTTTTACATTGTACCTTGTGCAAAGGTTTGTAACTTTTTCACTCATTGCTCAACACTTCCTTCAGCAGCAGCAGCAATGGAGCTCTTCAATTTTGAAGTCCCCCAACTCAGTACAAGTTCCCTGTGATATCCTAACATTAAGTTTTGCTGCACTAACATACATGGAAACAAAATGATATAAACTGATTGGAAATCTGCCAATTCGTCACACTCACCGACTAAAAACAGGACTGCCCAGCACTATCCAGCATCAGTTCTGCTGCCAGATCTTGTCGTGCTCCTAACATAACAAAATCTGTTCATTACACTGCTCTCTCTACAAAATCAGTGTTCTTATGGGCAGAGGGAAGTGCAGGAGAACCAACACTAGAAACTACATCAAGACTCATGAAATTAGGTGAAAAAAGTATCACTCTAGCACTTCCCCTTCATGGATAGCCTGGAGGACAACACACCACCCATATCCTCTCTCACTCCAGCTGATGAAATAATCAATCAATCAATCAAGTTTATTCTCTATAAAGATTACAATGCGGGGTTTACAGATTTTGGATATTGTGTGGTTTACATGTTATAAAATACTAATTATAGAGGGGGCCACTATGACACCTAGCATGGCTAGGCATTTCGGGCAGACTTAGAGTAATTCTTAACTCAAAATTATTACAGATTATGGAGTAAGTTGGTATTAAGGCTAAGTGACTACATTATAGTTTGTGAATTTAGCAATGTGAATGCTTTTGTTTTGGTACAATACATAGTTTCTATATTGGAGTATCACAGGCAAACTTATGACTAGTTAGGATTCATTATTTTAAGATTAAGATTAGTATTTCTGGGTTTATAGTCAGTGGGTGAGTGAGTGTAATTGTGAACCACCAGGTGGTTATCATGTAGTTAGTTGTCGGGGTGTATCAGGGAGATAAGATGTTTTCTAACTGTAGTTTTGAAAGTGATGAATGTGTCTGCAGTTCTAGAGTTTTCAGGTAGGGTGTTCCAGATTTTAGGTCCTTCGAAATACACTGAATTTTTGTAAAGGTTTAGTCGAACACGGGGAATGTCATAGAGATGTTTGTGTCTGGCGTTATGCCTGTGGATCCTGTCACAACTATCAAGAAAGCATTTTAGGTCAAGATTAATATTGGAATTTAAGGTCCTGTAGATATAGATTGCACAGTAGTAAGTGTGGATGTTCTGAACAGGGAGTAAGTTTAGATCTATGAAGAGTGGGGGGGGTGTGTTGCCAGGGATGGGATTTAGTGATTATTCTTACTGCGGCTTTTTGTTAGGTTATTATTGGCTTTAGGTGTGTTGCTGCAGTTGAACCCCAAGCACAGATAGCATAGGTGAGGTATGGATATATAAGTGAATGGTATAGTGTGAGAAGGGCAAATGTTAACCAAATACCCAAGAATTACTAAAGTCATCAGAGTGCAAGCTGAGCACATCAAATCTCTAGAATATGACCTATAATACAGTAAACTAGAATCATTACAGGCCATTCATGTCAAGAAAATTACTGACCTTGAACTCAATCAGCTCAAGCCAAGAGGGTTCATGAGCTTGAGGAAAAGCTGCCCAATCTAAAAAAAATGAGTGGTGACCATAAAGAGTGCAATCAACTGTTGTATACCATGCCAAATAAATAACCTCCCTCATCACCAAGATAGATGATGTGCATGACTGGAAATCTCACATGGACACACAGTTTTCTGAATTCCTTTAAGATGAAAAGGACTAAATTGAACATCAGCAGTTATCAGATGACATAACTGTAAACAGCTGACATTTCCTTGAAGACATTAACTCTAGTTCTTATTTACAAACCACCCTCCACCTGCTCAAAGATGACCTGCAAGTTAATTTAGAAAACAGTGACATAAAGGAAGCCTGACTGTTAGGCAAACTAGAACTGAAATGAAATGTAATACTAAGATTTCATTCATATACTATTATGATTATTTGTTTTTCCATCAAGATGAAGGGAAGCGTGTTTAATTTTTTTTTTTTTATTAACACTTCAGCCGATTCCCACCAAGGCAGGGTGGCCCGAAAAAGAAAAACTTTCATCATTCACTCCATCACTGTCTTGCCAGATGGGTGCTTTACACTACAGTTATAAAACTGCAACATTAACACCCCTCCTTCAGAGTGTAGACACTCTACTTCCCATCTCCAAGACTCAAGTCCGGCCTCCCGGTTTCCCCGAAGCCCTTCATAAATGTTACTTTGCTCACGCTCCAACAGCACATCAAGTATTAAAAACCATTTGTCTCCATTCACTTCTATTAAATAAGCTCATGCACTCTTGCTGGAAGTCCAAGCTCCTCACACACAAAACCTCCTTTACCCCCTCCCTCCAACCCTTCCTAGGCTGACCCCTACCCTGCCTTCCCTCCACTACAGATTTATACACTCTCGAAGTTATTCTGTTTTGTTCCATTCTCTCTACATGTCCGAACCACCTCAATAACCCCTCCTCAGCCCTCTGGATAATAGTTTTGGTAATCCCACAAATCCTAATTTCCAAACTACAAATTCTCTGCATTATATTCACACCACACATTGCCCGCAGACATGACATCACTGCCTCCAGTCTTCTCCTTGTTGCAACATTCATCACCCATGCTTCACACCCATACAAGAGTGCTGGTACAACTATACTCTCATACATTTCCCTCTTTGTTTCCACAGACAAAGTTCTTTGTCTCCACAGACTCCTAAGTGCACCACTCAACCTTTTCCCCTCATCAATTATATGATTCACCTCATCCTTCATAGACCCATCAGCTGACACGTCCACTCCTAAATATCTAAATACGTACATTCATCTCCTCCATACTCTCTCCCTCCAATCTGATATCCAATCTTTCGTCACCTAATCTTTTTGTTATCCTCATAACCTTACTCTTTCCTATATTCACTTTTAATTTTCTTCCTTTACATACCCTACCAAATTCATCTACCAACCTCTGCAACTTCTCTTCAGAATCTCCCAAAAGCACAGTATCATCAGCAAAGAGCAACTGTGACAACTCCCACTTTGTGTTTGATTCTTTATCTTTTAACTCCACACCTTTTGCCAAGACCCTCGCATTCACTTCTCTTACAACCCCACCTATAAATATACTGAACAACCACGGTGACATCACACATCCTTGTCTAAGGCCTACTTTTACTGGGAAATAATCTCCCTCTCTCCTAAATACTTTAACCTAAGCCTCACTATCCATGTAAAAAATCTTCAGTTTTCAGTAACCTACCTCCTATACCATATACCTGCGACATCTGCCACATTGCCCCCCTATCCACCCTATCATATGCCTTTTCCAAATCCATAAATGCCACAAAAACCTCTTTACCCTTATCTAAATATACTGTTCACCTATATGTTTCACTGTAAACACTTGGTCTACACACCCCCTACTTTTCCTAAAGCCTCCTTGTTCATCTGCTATCCTACTCTCCATCTTACTCTTAATTCTTTCAATGATAACTCTACCATACACTTTACCAGGTATACTCAACAGACTTATTCCCCTATAATTTTTGCATTCTCTTTTATCCCCTTTGCCTTTATACAAAGGAACTATACAAGTTCTCTGCCAATCCCTAGGTACCTTACCCTCTTCCATACACTTATTAAATAATAGCGCCAACCACTCTAAAACTATATTCCCTCCTGCTTTTAACACTTCTATCTTTATCCCATCAATCCCAGCTGCCCTACCCCCTTTCATTCTACTCACTGCCTCATGAACTTCCCCCACACTCACAACTGGCTCTTCCTTACTCCTACAAGATATTATTCCTCCTTGCCCTATACACGAAATCACAGCTTCCCTATCTTCAACATTTAACAATTCCTCAAAATATTCCTTCCATCTTCCTGATACCTCTAACTCTCCTCTCCTATTTTTAACTATCAAATCCGTTTGTTCCCTAGGCTTCCTCAACTTATTAATCTCACTCCAAAATTTCTTATTTTCAACAAAATTTGTTGATAACATCTCACCCACTCTCTCATTTGCTCTCTTTTTACATTTCTTCACCACTCTCTTAACCTCTCTTTTTCTCTCCATATCCTCTTCCCTCCTTGCATCACTTCTACTTTGTAAAAACCTCTCATATGCTAACTTTTTCTCCCTTACTACTCTCTTTACATCATTCCACCAATCGCTCTTCTTCCCTCCTGCACCCACTTTCCTGTAACCACAAACTTCTGCTGAACACTCTAACACTACATTCTTAAACCTACCCCATACATCTTCAACCCCATTGCGTATACTCTCACTAGCCCATCTATCCTCCAATAGTTGTTTATATCTTACCCTAACTGCCTCCTCTTTTAGTTTATACACCTTAACCTCTCTCTTACTTGCTGCTTCTATTTTCCTTGTATCCCATCTACCTTTTACTCTCACTGTAGCTACAACTAGAAAGTGATTTGATATATCTGTGGCCCCTCTATAAACATGTGCATCCTGAAGTCTACTCAACAGTCTTTTATCTACCAATACATAGTCCAACAAACTACTGTCATTATGCCCTAC